TCTCTCTCTCTCTCTCTCTCTCTCTCCTCTGGAGGCACAAGCTCTCCTTCTCCTTTTCTCCTCAGCTTCTGTTTTCTGTTGTTCAGTTCTTCTGAAGCTCATCATCTGAGCTCAGGAGCTGGATCTCTCCCTCCTCGGTGACACATTCATCCCCGCTCTGCCTCCAGATGATGGATGCAGGTTTCAGGCGTTTGCTGGCTCTGAAGTAATTAAGCCGGGGTGGTGGAGTTCTGTGTGGACCTTTATCAGCTGTGGAGTTTAGATTAATGGTCGGTGCCATTTCAATAATTTCTCCGGTTGTATCTGCCTGTGGGGACGGAGTGGCCTGAGTGGGGTGTTGAGATGGAAAGGGCAGGTTTGTTTGCAGGAGCTTTTTGATTGAATGCTCGTGTGATACATAAGAAATCAGGGTTTTTAATAAACTCTGACTTCTGAAGAACTTTAATTTGTCGATCACTGATTTTTCCTGCAGCTTCAGTAAAACAGACGTGGAGATATGTTCCTGGATATTTCACAGCACAGCCGAGTCCTCCTTCCTCTCGTCTCGTACCTTTCTGCAGAGATGATGGAGGCTCAGGTTCACGACGTAGGTTCCCTCAGTTTCACGGGCGTCAGATAAAGTTTGCAGAAGCTGCAGCAGATTTCAGCCTCACATGAGTAAACGGAGCTTTATCTCCTGTGAAAACCAGGAGGGTTCAAAGTGGAATTTAAAGAGACCACTCTCAGCTTCAGGGTGAATCTGTGACCTCTCTCACGACGCAGCAGAGGAGCGACGTCCCAGACGATGACGCTGCTGCTGCTGCTGCTGCTGCTGCTGCTCCCCTCACTGTTGCACAAATGCAAAATCTACAGAAACGCTTCTGCAGCTTGACCCGAGCAAGAAAATGTGCAGAAACGTCTGTAGAATAATAAAATGTGAGAGAAGCAGCACAGGGGGGGGGGAATAAGAGGAGGGACGTCAGGCTGGAGAGAAACTACCATAACTTTCTTTGTGTTTATTCAGTCGGAGTCGATGAGGAGATCTTGTTCTTGCTGCAGGTTCTTCATCGTATTCACACGAGATGAGTTTCACCTCCTCCTGCAGAGACGAGCTCCTTTCCTCCAAATGTAGATGAGTCACTGCAGCTGAAATGTCGGAGCGTGATGTCGGCTGCAGGGACGTTCAAAAACAAAGCGTTAGTCCACCTCGGGGCCCTTCTGCATGCATGGGCCCCCAAAGTCCCCAAAAGAAATGTCCCAGGGGACACAGTGGACTCTGCAAACTCCACCGTGCAAACTGCTTCAAATTTCCAGCTAATGTCTCTAAACTGTGTGAAACGTTGTCCCCTGACCCTGAGGTGACGGAGGAGGAGGAGGAGGGGGCGGGGGTTTGATTATCTGTGTGATTTGTGTCCTCGCTGCAGGAGACGCTCTTCAGATCCAGTGTTACCAGTGTGAGGAGATGAAGCACAACGACTGCTCCACGCCAGAGTTCATCGTCAACTGCACCGTCAACGTGCAGGACATGTGTCAGAAGGAGGTTCTGGTCAAACCCGACGGTGAGAGACGCCACCTCCTTCTTATCTCCCCGGTGTTTGTTCAGGTGTCGGGGAGGTTTTGAGCTTCACATCTGGACGGTTGGAGGAAGTGGAAGTAAATCGTTAAAATCGATATTTAAAATCACTGGACAGACCAGGAGCAAATGTTAACGTTCAGATTCAAGCTGAGCAACAATTTCAAAAATCAAGAAAGAGACGAGAAGAAAAAAAAGATAAAGTGACGTACGAGTGAGCAGCAGGTGGCTCTTTGGTGGCGACTCACAGTTTAGTCATTCAACATTTTACGGATTGAGCGGCTGCGGCTTTGTGACGACGTCCTTGAGCGAGACCTCGGATGTTTCATCGTGGCGCCTCCTCCTCCTCCTCCTCCTCCCCGGAGGAGCTGCAGACGGAGGATGCACAAGACTTTTAGTTTTGCTCCTTCATCAATAAAAAGCTTCCCTCCGCCTGCACAGATTCAATTTATCTGATCTCAACTTTCTTCTCGTCCAGCAGAAGGAAATTTAATTTAAAGAAAACACAAGATAAATAACACAATGAGAATCCTTCATGAATTATAAAGCTCCTGCTGTAACAACAGATAACAGCAACATGGAGGAGGCTCGCTGGAGTTCTCTTCGTACAGTATAAATTACAGTGACGCACACGCCGGTGAACACGAGGCGACAGACTTTAAACTCCTCTCGTCTGTTTGCATCTTTCTTTTTGCAGGAATTCATTACAGGAAGTCCTGCGCCTCCTCGGGGGCCTGCCTCATCGCCTCCTCCGGATACCAGCAGTTCTGCACCGGGAGGTTGAACTCCGTCTGCATCTCCTGCTGCAACACGCCGCTCTGCAACGGGCCCAAGAGGAGGCGCCCCGTCCCCTCGGCGGCGGCGACGCCTCAACCGCAGAGGAGCCGTCGCCTCCTCCTGACCTTTCTCCTGCTGCCGCTGACGCTCCTCCGGCTGACGTAGACGCTCCCACCGCACCTCCACTGTACAGTTTCTCATATTCACTTCAATCACTTTCTATCTGTTGCTCTCCTCCATCCTCCACGTGGTCGCTCCTGGTCTCAAAAATCCAAGATGGCGCTTGAACAAAACGTCACACTGAGGCTTCAGAGTGAGTGACGTCACGGTGGGTCGATTCCGGACGAACCGTCAGAACCCTGACGAGCATTTTGTTCCCGTTAAGCATCTTAAAGACTGAGTGAACATTTTATGTCGTGTGTTTCGTCGCAGGTTGATTCCGGAGCCCGCGGCCGCCGCCGCCGCTGCTGCGACGGCTGAGGCGACATCACGACCACAGAATGTCTCTGCAGACCTGGAGCTGCGTGAGTCTCGTCAGAGGACGACTCGTCCCTCTGCCGCGGACACGTCCGTCCATTTCTGTGCTTTGTTGTGAAGTGGAGCGTTGTTTGTGAAGAAGCTGATCTGAAACCAGCTGTTAAAGGTTGAAGTTACTGTGGAAAATAAGCTTTTACTTATTATAATGATTGTGATCTCACAAACCCAAACTTATATTCTTCATATTTATGATGACGGAGACACTTTGATTCAGATCAATAAGGTTCCGCAGCTTATTCCTGCATATTCTCCACTGCCACACAGTATTGATCGAAGTTTTACGACAGGGAATATGAAGTTGTACTGAAATACTTTTGTATTTTTTGGGTTGATTCTTCCACACGAACAGTTTGTTAGCGAACCACTGAAACTTCACATATCATCACTTTGTGAAAAAAAAAAAAAAAAGAAGTGTCACAAAGTAAAGAAGAAAAATGTCTTCAGGGTGAAATCAGAAGTTTTTTATTTGTTTAAATCCAGATCGTAGCCAGTGATGCATGTCGCCTCTGCTGTGTAATATAAAAACACATGGATCATATTTTCAGCCGAGCATCTTCGGACACGTTTAAATTCCCTCTCAATACTTTTGGTGCTTGCGTCACTTTTGAATCTGTACAGTCTAATATGAACAATATCAACATGTATTGAATGTTCTGTGGAGATAAACACGTTCTCCGACTGTTCCTCGTCTTGTTTTAATATTGAAACCCCCGAGAACGTGTTTGTTCTGATGAATGTTGGCGGCAGCTTGGTCTTCTGTGAAGAGTTTCACTGTGTCGTGTAAATAAATGTTGCAGAAAAACCGAGACGTCCTGAGCCGATGGATTCATTTAACTGGGAATCTTCTCTATTGTAAATATCTCACGGAACACAAATGAAAAGGGGATTATGGGAACTTCAAAATGGCCCCTGACCACATTCCCGCTGCAGCACCTGAACCTTGTGTTTTCTCCACAAGTGCTAACATCAGGATTCCGCTCGGCTCGGCTGTGGAATCGTCCGCTGGAGGTGGTGAGAAGGTTATTTGGGCCCAAACGCTCCGTGTGAATTTTAACCTCGGTGCTGAGGACGAACTTTAGAGTTTCACTGTTTAACTTGCTTCACCCCGATGATTCCTTTATTGATTGTTTTCTGCTCGGGGCCTCTGAGCACATTCGTCCGTCTCAACATTTTGCTTCTTTTGTGTTTGGATTTATTTTATTTTTGAGAATTCCCTCACAGCGCAGGTGTGTGAAACCTGATCGAAGCTCAAAGGAAGCAGGAGATTAAGGTTGTGAGCTCAGATTGAAGCGACAAATCCAGAATCCAGTGGACGTCAGGTCATTTAGCAAAGAGGAGAAATGAGTAGTGTGCAGAAACACACACACACACACATGTAACACTCCGCCAATGCATCCTTTATTATCTCCAACTATTTTGCAGACAGACAGATTTTCACGGTCCAGTTGAGCCACAGTCGTGTTTCCAAGTAACCGTTTGCAGCAGTGCATCATGGGAGAGAGTGTCTGCAACCGGAGGAATCCTGCAC